ATATTACTTATATATATATGTATCTTATATTCTTAGGAAACAAAACAAAAAACAACAAATTTTATTCTAAGTATACAGAAATAATGACATAAACAACAATTCTGTGGAGTAAACAAATCTTTTGTAGAAAAACAAAATTCTACAAATATCAAAACTACAGTGGTGTCCGCTTAAACCAAATTCTGCGGGTCTACCAAAATTTCTCCAGTTTCGCCAGATTTTGAGTTTAGAGACGTTGCTAATACAGAAAAGACAAAAGTTGAAGATTTTGTATTCTTTCGGTCTCAAATTAATCAGGTTTGGTTTAAGCGAACTCTACTGTATTTCCGCAGTCAGAGAGACTCTTTAACGTTATCATGTCACAGGGATGTGTCAAAATAAAAAATCTCGTTTAAGACTCAACAAAACAAAATTTCTATTTATTTATGGACATTCCCATCTCGTTCAATCAATAAAACAAAAAATAACAATATATTAATTCTAACCGATCCTCACAAACCGCAGCGTACTTTGATCAACAGAAGTTATAGAAAAAGATAACATAATGTGGATAAAAGTCACAGATTATACAGTATGGCACCATGTGGGAAAAAGGGAGTACGGTAATGTGGAAAGTATTCACATTCTCCATCTTCTGTGTACACCTCCACCAACGGGCATCTCAGTATTTTCAACAAGCTGCTACACGCTTCACAACCATCTCAGTGCTTTCAATATAGCTGAACACATTTAACCAAAGTTGACAAAACCAAAAAGACAAAAAACTTTTTCAAAATGTCTTGTTTGCCTCTATAAATTTGTTTGCAGACAGAGGTTAGTTAACAACTATAAGCAAAATTTGTGGGAGCATGGCTGGAGGAATACAGACGTAACTGGTTTGTTTCTAAGTTAAAACAGAAGGATAGAAAAAATAAAGTAATTAATAACACGCAGTTACTCAGAGCTCAAAAACATATCAAAAGAGAGATCAACTGTAACATTAAGGAAAAAAGAATCTCTACCCTAATAAAAAAAAGAAAAAACAAAAGAAGAAGAGAGCAATAAAATTGCTCATTTTGGGTCAAGACAGAGAGTCCCTTGAGAGTATGTTTGAATGAGTTGGGTTTTTTTTTGGTCATTCAGACTGCTTTATTGGGTAGAAGACTGCTTCCTGATTCAGAGTTCTAGTCTTTAATTTTTTATTTAGTAGATGTTTTACGGCACTCGCAACTGCATAAGATCATATGAGCGCCAAGGGGTGGATGTCAACAGAGAAGTCGTTACAGGGAATCAGGCTTACTCTGCTCACCTCTCTAGCTTCAACAGCACAAAGTCTGTTTCGACTTTCAAGGCACCCCGGAAATAGAGGGCCACAAGCAAGAGTGTGACAAACATACAAAAGAAGTAGAGGAAAAATGATAATAGTAAGGATTAGGAAAGAAAAAGTAGCATAGCAGTTCCCTTTTGTAGATCAGGCACAGCTATGAGCGTAACATTGATGAATCAGCCCATTTACAATTCTACTGTGCATGAACGAGAAATGTCCCCCCTTTGGGAATGGCCTAAAAAACTTCAGTCAGTGGCACCGCCCCGGAGGGTGCGTTCTAGTCTGTGTACCCAGCAAGGGCACACACACACACATGATGTATACATGCATGGTCTGACTGCAGTGTTGCCCTTGACGGGAGTGGTCTTCTTATCTCGCCACACGTTCTTGGAATCATCATGTTTGAATGAGTTATTATAAAGGCAAAAGTAAAAGCCACATCAAACTTTACTTACCAAGGAGAAAGGAATCAAACCTTATATTATTATTGGATGGAGTGGAACAAAACTCACATTACCGGTATATTGAACAGAACAAAATTGGGTATTAAATATTATTAGTTTATATACTAATACACAAGTTCATGAATCAATGACCTTTTAGTTAAATTGAAGACGCTTATAAGAACACTGAGCCTCTCGGATCACAGGTGACAGAAAAAAAAAGATACGAAATTGTATAAAATTAAAAAGTGCAAAAAAGTAAAACAAATCCAGTAAGCATTCAGAGAGACAAAAAGCATCTATCTCACTCGCTACTGTCAGTACAGCTCTCTGATATTTGGCAAGAAGAAAACAACAAAGTAGACATACATTGAAATACAGTATAACACGGATAGGTCGAACACAGAAGACTCGAAATCACGCATCTGTCGAACTGTGCGTCTTGTCCTGTTTTTTGTCCCTTTTTTAAATCTTTGTACGATGATATCCCTTAAACTACAGACCCCCTCGAACTACCGAGGCTGCTCCTAAAAAATTCGAACTATCTGTTTAATACTGTAAAATCCTCTCTCTTGGTTAATGTTGATCTCCATAACCGATCAGGAAGAACACATTCTTATGATATTAAGAGTTTGAGCGTGAATCTAAAAGCGTACGGTATATTCCTAGAGTTTAAATGAAAAGAAAAAAAGAAAACAGAGACATATAAGGCAAACTTTGATCCATATTCAGCATCAGTGAGACATTACTAAGTAAAGAAATTCAATTGTGGAGATCGAAAACAAAGTGTTTTGGAATGTGCTTCAAGGCAAGCGGTTATTATAATACATAATACAAACATGCAACACAAATTAACATGTAACAGACATATGGCATGAACATACACATAAAAAACATGATCCCCCTCCCCTACCCCCCTTCAGTTTTAATACATAAAAAAAAAATATTCTCCATTATTTGAGGTCATAACGTTAAACAAAAAAAAAAAACAACAACCGAAAAATAAACAGAATCTCAGTCTGGACTAGGGAAGTGGACACATTGTGCTACTCATTTGGCTTTATTGAACAATCTACAGCAATGTCAAGACTATTTTATTTTGAAGAACTCTACAGATATCATGCCACGAATAAAAAAAAACAAACCCACCCCCCCCCCAAAAAAAAAAACAACCAAAAAAACCTCCCAACAAAATATGGAAGCTTGTGGGCTTGTATTGTTTGAGTAAAAACAACCACATCAAAACAATAATGGTCATTTTGTGCTGGGAAAAAGTAAGGACAGACAGACAGACAGACAGACAGACAGAAACAACTGAGGGGAAGGTAAAGAAGTAGCCCTTACTAGTGGCCCTCTCCGACCACAGCTGAAAAGCCAGGGAGCAAAAAAAGACCCCAAAAAATGGTGGAAAAAGTCTTTGATTTCAGAAAGGATGGAAAGTAAATAAACTGTGAGAGTAACGGTGTACCCTGTCAGAACGTATGCTGCCCTTATTCTGTCCCCATGGTTTTATGCACCCCGCATAATTTAGCAAAATTTGATCATTTTTGCATAAATTCAGATTATTTTCCTTTATTTTATCATTCTTTGTAAAAATTAACAGAATCGCATAATTTCACATTTTTGGGCTCAGTTTGCATAATTTCAGAATTTTTCTTGCATAAAATGACGGGGACAGCTTATTATAGATACGGTGCTCCAATATAGATCATGAATATTCCTGAGAAAGAACACTTAGATCTAGACCTACGAAACCATTTGGAAACTGTAAGGGAAAATAAGGTAGAGTCACTTTTAAACAAAATTTTGAAGTAGCCACTACATGGACTTCAAGGACACTACAGTTTCACTTGAGGTATTGTTTACCGTTTTGTTTTTTCAACGATACATGAATTTATGATTTTTGCTATTTGAAAAGAAATCTCAGCGAATTCACATTAGATCTATTCATGAAATGTTAAAGAAGTTTCACTATTACTACTACATTTTTGCTTTTCCGTTTGATTCTTTTTTATTTTCTTTCTCTTTCTCTCTCCCTCCTTCCATTCATCTCCTCTCTTCTTTCTTTCTAAGTTCTTGTCGATTTTACAATATTAAGCAAACAGTCTTTGGTATTGTCTAATACTACTAGTAATTTTATCACTTCAGACAGAAACTGCAACATTTTTGTTACATCTGTGAGAGTTGGTAAAATGAGCACAGCATGCTCCACTCTAGCCAGTGCCTTCTTTGAATTTGTTCTGTGCACTGGAATTCAAATGAATCTAAAAACGAAACGGCTGTATGCTAGTATACATCTCGGAGTATGTCAGAAAAACGGAATTAAAGAAATATTATTGGATTTTATGCAAATCTGATTAAGGTTCTTTTATTGGCCAAAAAATATACAAAAATAACAGGGCTCAGAATTTCTCAGGGTATATAGGCTGTGGCAAGAAAATATTTTTTTCTAAAGCTACTTTTGTCCTGTCTTCAGCATCACCATCAAATAAAACAGCGTGTGAACACTAAACACAGCACCAAGAAGCTGAGAAAGTCGCTGCAAAATAACAGGAGTGAATAAAAATAGGGGGCACATTCATTTACATATATGTGCCAGCTCGTCACTGAAAAGTGTGAATATTCCATCCCACAAAAGTTCAATCAGCTCAAAGGAAATGAACTTTATAAATGGAAGACATATAAAAATAACATTAATAATAATAACAACAATAATGAAAAATAATAGTAATAATAATTAAGATAATAATAATAGTAATAATAATAGTAATAATAATAACGATAATAATAATAATAATGATAATTAAAAAAGTAATACTAATAGATGATAATGACCATGATAATAATAATTACATTTATATATCCTGTATCCCTGCTCTTTGTGCTCAACAAAGACGCAGGAGCACAATATTTCCCCCCACCCCCCCATTGACTTTTGACTCCTCACCCAACTCTCTTGTCTGTTCTTATACCACAGTTCTTTCTCAGGACCAGTATATTGCAGTTCCCCGTATTTCATATAATTTTAACTCATTGCCTACCCAGGCCACACATGCTGCTGTCAACTTGGGTACTTAGATGATAGCAATGAGAAACACACCAGGTAGGCAATGAGTTAACAGAGACAAAAACACACAAAAAATGTATTCATTAACCCTATCCGTACACCGTGTTTTACTATCATATTCATACAACGTGGAGAACTCTGTGCCACCACTTTTCAAGGAGAAAATTTACTCATTAATCCGATCCATACGCTTTGCATAGCAGTCTGTCAAAATGATATTTTGAGAAATACTGAAAGTTTCAAAGAGAGCTTCATACTAGAAGAATTCTAAAACATGAAGAATACAATACCGGGGTGGGGGGGTTACAAAATGACCCCAGGGCGTACGGATAGGGTTAAACAAATATCGGCAGATGAGACCGGAGTAGGACAACAAGTAGTATTTAAACAGCAGCAGGAGGTGTGGGTTGTCTACCCGCGTCTTCTAGCGCGGCTGCCGACAGCGACTGGTAGCTGGCTTCTGTCACTAGAGGTCTCTGTTGTTGTATAGAGCCGTAACTGTTCTGGCGCTGCACCGAATGACCTGCACTGGCGCTTCTGGCACTCGCGGGCACGGTTTGCGCCGATTCCGTCGCAAGCGCTGGGTTCTCTCTATCCTTCAAGCTCTCACGCCAGCCTTTTAATTTTGTGAATGAGCCCAGCAGTAGTAGCTGCAATGAAAGAAAAGAAAATGGGGGATTAAAAAAAAAAGATTGTTTAGCATAATTTATTAATAACACAAGACATTAGTCTTTGCCTAAAATCACCCTTACTTGGAAATCAAGAAAAAAAGGACAAGGTGAGAGAATGGAATTTTTGACAGATTTGAACAGGGGGAAGATCTGAATGGAATGAAGAAGTACTCCGGCAATCTACTTCCTTTATACACACTGCCCAGGCAAAACTGTATTATGCATGCTGCTCTTGTAATCATTGTTCTTGATGGACTGCTGAAAAAGATGTCGGATGTCGGTATAGCAAAAAAGCCCCCAAATCTTCAGGATTTGTCGGTAACTTCAAAATTACCCGATTCAGTCGAGGACCTATATTAAGGTAATGCTAAATTCTGCTTTCAAATCAGTAGGATCAAACATCAAACAAAAACCATTAAGTTTCTTGGAAGCATGAGTCATTTTTTCACAAACACATGAGCACACACATGCACGTTGGAATTCCTGTTACCTAGACCCTCTAAGAAGATAAACACAACCCCATGTACATGATACAAATACCCGAGTACACGCACACAATCTCACACACATTTTATTTTTTAGTAAGAGTTTTACAGCACTTGCAGCACAATAAGGTCATATAAGTGCCAAAAATAGATTTGTCACAAGAGAGTAATGTATACAAAAAAGGAGAGATGAGGACGATAGATGTTTGATAGGAAAGAAGGAGCAAACCACACCAGAGCCCCCGCCAACCACCCACCCACACATGTTTATCTAAACTCACCAAAGCCAAACCCTGCAAGGCCACCAAAACACCAAAGAGGATGTGCGGCGAATTGACGGTGGAGGAGCCCCACAGCGGAGCTAAGACTGTGCCAAGACCAACAACTGTGCGACGCAGACCTTGACTCAAACCTGAAGGAGTAAAACAATACTGATTTGTGACCCTCCCGATCAAAATCAGTCATATGAAGGACATTTTTAAAATGAGGTTAACATTAATTCCAGAAACTATCACCATTTTCCTACAATTAAAAAAAAATGAAGTAAATCAGACAATGTGTGGCGAAAATATGGAACTTTCAAGAGCGCAAAGTGCGGAAACACGAAAAGGAGAAAATAGGCTCCTTTAATCTCGTCACGCAAGCTCACAACTAACCACACACACCTCCAAAATAATTCAAAATAAAATATTTACAGTCGATTATAGTTGTTTATTTTGACCTTAAATGAAGCAGAAGATATAAAACTTCTAATAGAACAAGAAAAAAAAAATTGCATAGAATGTCACATTTTTGCGTTTCGAGCCTCGTACCTTATAATAGCACATTGCATCTTACGACTGATATTGACCGGGGCAGACAGATTTATACTACCGCTTGCATGTTCTGTCCTTGTTTGTTTTTTGTTTTAGTAGAGGTTTTACTGCGCTCGCAACTGCATAAGGTCCAATGAGCGCCAAAGGGTGGATGTCAACAGAGAAGTCCTTACAGGGAATCAGGCTTACTCTGCTCACCTCTCTAGCTTCAACAGTGCAAAGTCTGCTTCGACTATCGAGGCACCCCAGAAATAGAGGGTCATTAGAGTGTGACAAACATACAAAAGAAGTAGAGGAAAATGACGATAGTAAGAATTAGGAAAGAAAAAGCAGCAGTTCCCTGTTGCAGTTCAGGCACAGTTATGAGCATGACATCGATGAATCAGTCCATTTACAATTCTACTGTGCATAAGAACATGTTAATGTTCCCCCCTTTGGGAAAGGCCTAAAGACACTTCAGTCAGTAGCACCGTCTCAGGGGGTAATGTTCTGTCCAAGAGAGCCCCAGTGAAATGGCAAGTAATCAAAACCTTTAGCCCACTCATGGGTCTTTCAAGGAAAGGTAGATGAAACGGGTGATTTTTTAAAGCATGTTTCTTGGGCTGCACAGGCTTTTTCAATCTCCCCAAAAATACTACCATGGCTTCAGCGTTCTGAACCCATGTGGTACTTGGGGGTTTTTCCACTATACGAGGCTTCGGTACTGTAAGTGTAAAGCTCATTGAACTTTTATCATCCCCCCAAACCCACAGACCTTGTGTTTCCTTGCGTGTCAGCTTGGAGAATAACGACGTGGAGCACACAAACAGGAAGGGCAAGCTCAAGACATCCAGGAACACGGGGATACTGAAGAACAGCAGGTTGCCATCACGGTTGTCTGAAACAGCGAAGAAAAACCCCCCCCCATCAAAATTTCCTTTTATAGGAACCGAGAATTTTTAAAAATATAAAAAAACTGCCAACTGATAAGCGGGACAGATACTGCAGAAGCTGATGAGGCATAGAGAAATCTGAGCCTCTGTTATCTCTAGTGGATGGATTACCGTCCTCTTTAAAATTGAATAAATAAATATGAATAATAATAATAACTTGAAAATGAAAAGGATTTTTCAGAGAGCTGATTAGCTTGTTTTCAGCCAACATTATACAAAAAAGGAAAATGACTTAAATTACTTTCCAAAAAATTGTAACCACCATCTGTGAGGTAACAGTTAGGTGCTTTGCAGTTGCACACAGAAGACATGAGTTCGATTCCTGTGTGGGGAGAATATCTATAGATTATCTTCATCTTTCTGCTGGGACGTTGTATCCCTCTCAGCCCAGGTTGGCCCTGACAGGCAGGATTGAAGCCCACCTCCTAAATGATCCTAATTGTGTTGATAGCGGTGTAAAACACCTACATGAAAATGTGACCACAGACCAAGATTCATATAATTCCAGTTGATGGGATATAAAAAATAAATATATACAAAGCTTGAGATCATCTTCGATAGTAAAAAAAAATTAAAAAATATTCAACTTTTTAAAAGATAGATTAACAAGAACCCACTAAACTAAAGAATATTATAACACTTATTATTTTTTTACCCTGTCAATAAACAAAACAGCCTTTGTCAGACATTTCACCCAATTACCCTTAGTAAAAAGACTGTGAAGTCTCATGTTGAGTTCTTACTAGGCCCTATAATTTAACCCTATCCGTACGTTGCGTTTTACTATCGTATCAATACGACGTGGGGAACTCTCTGACACCACTTTCCAAAGAGGAAATTTATTCGTTAATCCGATCTGTATGCTTTGAATAGCAATCAGTCAAAATGATTTTGTGAGAAATACTGAAAGTTTCAAAGAGATCTTCGTACTAGAAGTATTCTAAAATGTGAAGAATACAACCCCGGGGGTACAAAATGACCCCAGGGCGTATGGACAAGGTTAAGATCTCCAATCCACCAAAGAGTCAAAAAAAAAAAAAAAAGCCAAGTCAAATTGTCATGAGAAATTTGAAAATACCTCTTGTGAAACTCTTTTAGAACATAAGGCTAATAAGACACACACACTTCCCCTAAAGTCCACTTTGTTAGGATGTGTGAAGAATTATAAACTGCAAATTGGAATTTGAAGAATAAATTTTGTCAGTGTCTCACATGTTGACAGGAAGCAAAATATCAACATAGGGACAAAACTGTCTCATGCAAAAAAGTGGTGCAATGAACACAGTGCTAGTAAATCGTTCTTCATGATAAAAGACAAAGTTAGTCAAACCGAATATTTCTTCTGTTTCAAATTGTGAGGACATAGGTCTAAAAACATTCAGAAAAAGAAGGTCAGCCTTTGACTCCATTCAGAAAGAGAGAGTGAGAGAACAGATGGGTGCAGATGAAAATAGTAATATAAAAAAACAATCGAACAAAACACAACTCAAGATCTTTTAAGGAAGTTTTCTCACGTGAAGTACCGATAAACGGGATGTAGACAAAAAACAAACAGCTTGAAAAAAAAAGAGTGAAACAGCCAAAAAATATCATGGAGGAATCACTGCAGCGTTTGGTAAGAAAGTTCACGATGAAAATCACCAGGATGATCTGCAGAATAAATTGAAGAAATCAAAGTAAAAAAGAAATGAGTACCATATACAGACGGGTACGAAAAAAACCAAAATAATATAAGAGCCATTGTCAAAAGATGAGCATTGCTAGATTGACTTGTTTCCCCATATGAGAAAAAAAAAGTTTTAAAAAATTGTTAAACGAAATAAATGTTGAAGCAACATTCTGATGAGAATGGCTCACATATGTAATTATATATGTGTCACGACGCAGTGGAATCAGGCACTCTTCAATTTTTGGGCATATGGAGTCATTGATTTCATCTAAAACCTTGTTCATTTGTCTCACTTTCTATGAAAAACTACCCATCTATCATGAATAAAAGTCGATATATTTGCGATTGAAGGAGTAGGGGGTCGCCTGAAAACCTTGTTTCAGAAGTAAAATTAGCGAGAAAAGAGCGGCCAAAGTTGCATGACTTTCAAAGCTTGAGATTCCTTTGAAACTGCAAATTTGCAATTTTTAAAAATCTTTTTTCAATGCTTCTCAATAAAATCTACAAAGAAATGGGTTTTTTAAGGGATTTTAAAAGCACTGAGTCCAAAAATAAAAATTTGATAAAAATGGCCAATCAGACAAAATATGCCAGTACAATACCTTCAATTTCATTATTTTGACCAACGCCTGATTTCAGCATGATGCTTCACATATAATTACACACACGCACAGATGAAAGCATCACTATTGCACAGCAGACTTACGGGGCTCGGCTTCTGGTACGAACCATATAAGCCAGCAATTGGAGGCCAGGTTCATAAACGCTCCAAAGATAATCATGTTCCTGTCGCAGACACAACGACTGAACACTGAGACCAGTACAAACACAATGATAATCTGCGGATAAGACAGTATTTTTGTAATGCCCTGTACATTATTTTTCTTGTTTTCTCAAGCATAAAGTATCGATGAACAAGAATTTTACATTTTCTGAAAGGCTGATGAACGGAGATTCATGTAATTTTTTCCCCTCCTCTATTTGTGTTCATTCTTTGTATCGTCCTTTGAGTTTGAGTAAGGTGAAGCACATTGACACAATAACTGTCATTTAGAGCTGGGAAAATGTAAGACAAGACAAGACATACAGAAACAGCAGAAGGAAAGTAAAGAAGTAGGACCTACCAGTGGCGCCCTCCAACCACCCGCTTTAATTCTTCAAATTTTTCTATTTTGTTGGAGAAAGATTCTCCTGTGCAGATGTATTGGTCATTGCCAGACATTGACGGATGAGCTAATAACGTTTCTGTTGATGGGAGTATAAAACATTCACAATTTCCCCTAAATACGAGGCTCTGAAACATGATAAGGCATTTAAAAAATGGCAAAATTTGAGCTTCATTTTATTTTACCAGGCGACAGCGAGACAATAATTTATCAATTTTATAAACCCCTTCACCACAGGGCAGGGAGCATAACCTACCAAAGAGCATAAGGCAGTCTCAGTCCAGACGGTAAAGGGGTTAACAAGTATACATTCTGAGGTTCAAACCCCAACGAGACAGCCTTTTCACATCCTTTCTGCAATAGCTTTTCTGTCTTCCCTGTCCGAGGACCTTGCGCTTCACTTTCAAAATGCTTAACAAGCCAAATGTGGCCACCAATAGAGGTATATGAGGTGAAATTTTATTTATAAAAGAATTAGAAATCAATATATGTTCTAAAAGTACTAAAAGTGATCCCACTTGTCAATATTATTTGTGAGCTAAGACTAGCATTTGAAGAATCACAGAAATGTAAGCCCCCATGCTCTGGTGGCTACCAGCAAAATGGCAAAATTCTACTGTGTTAAGGCATATATTGTAAACTAAAAAAAATCGGTTTGTCTTAAGTCTTATCAATGTAAAAACGTTATTACAATAATTATACAATTTATATTTAGCACTCCCTAATGTAAGCACTTTGTCCATATTTCAAAGGTTCTCTGTTCGTGGCTTTATCAAAATGGCTCCCAATCCAAAAAAGTTCGCCTACCTCTGATTCAAGTCAGAGTTCAGCAGCACTTTCAAACTCTCTAAACACTGACACAAAAAGGGATAATAATTTTTAAAACAGTTTTCTTCTCCACTCACCTCCACCCCACAAGCGCAGTACATTAGGCTGTTCTCTAGCTCACCAAAGTCTAGGTACTTCAGAGACAAAGGTGTAACCATCGTCTGAAAAAAACAGAACAAAAAAATCATTTCATATGTGAGGCATTGTATTGGGGTGAAATCAGGCTTTCGTCAAAATGCTGAAATCAAAGAAACCGACACTTTTCTGCTGGTTTAGAAATTTTTATCGAAATTTTGTGTTTTGGCTCTGTATCTTTCATGTCAATTTAAAAACACATTTCTGTGTGGATTTTACTGTAAAACGTTGATTAAAGGGACAAAAACTGTAAACTTTCAAGTTTTCAAGGACTCTTATGCTATAAAAGTCACCAAACTTTGTCAGCCATTGTTTCGCTAATTTTACCTTAATATCTCGACCTCTATTTAAGAGAGAAGGATTATAAAAAAAAATTCAAAGCAAGGCAAGAGAACAGACTTTAAGATTATACCAATAATTCCAAATGCATTAAAGTTGAGGAGCGCTTGATTCCATCGCATCGTGACACGTATGGTCAAGGCATGTCGTCAGAGTTGTTCTACAATGGTCCATATTAATTTCCGGGATGTTCTAGATAAAGCTTTTATTCAAATAAGACAAGATAATACTTTATTGTCCCAGACCGAAATTTTTCTTGGCTGAATAGCACCGTAAAAACATATGAAAGTATGCATAAAAGTTAAATTATATATTATTTATAAAATTCAATACATGAAAAGAAAGCAAAGCTGACAATAACGTTCATATTATTTCAGATGAATCATTCGACCACATGTAGGAATTTATTACTAGACCTTTAGGGGGCAATTTAGGGTACAGTTTTGTTCTGTTTCATTATTTCCTTTCTAGTTTTTAATTGAAAAAAAAACCCCAAACAAATGTCCGGGTCATGGTTCTGATGCGGGTGCTGTGGTTTCTTTAATTTATGCCCAGCATAAATGCTATTCATTATTATTATCAATATTATTTTAATAAAATATCTATCCCTCTAGATTCCAGTATTGCATGTATAGCACTGGCAAATCATTCAAAGCAGCTTCCGCCACTGTTTTGATAAAAATTTCAGTCAGTAAAATCTAGATATATGATTACGTCTCAAGAAATGAAGGGGGAAAAAAGGAGAAAACACCATCCAGAATAATAGGAAAGAAGAGCAAAGCACACCTGCCAACCACCCGCCACATACCTCTACACAGACTTGCGAAAACATAGTGCAGAAAATCACGTATATCACAGCTACTACTTCATCTCGTATGTACTCTGCAGAGGAAAGATGAAACATGAGAGCAATGCAACAAAGGAACACTAATAATAATACGACAATATGATGAAAACTTAAAAGGGAAACAACAACAACAAAAATTAGCCACAAAATAGGACAACTCTATTTATGTCCCTTGCCTTCTTGACCTTTACAAATTTGCCATTTGTGAATAAACGTCAAGGATGGTGTGTTGGTGGCGAGTCAGTGTTAAATAGTGTCATGGTCAGCATTAGAGGAGCACAGAAAGAGCCTCTATATCAGGAGTATAAAACTCAGATAGCCCGAGGGCCACTGGGGGTGTAGTCTTGTTTCGCTTTAGTAAGAGTTTTACGGCACTTGCAGTACAATTTGGTTATCTAAGTGCTTAAGATTAGAGGTGGTACAAGGGAGTAACAAACACAAAAAGGGAAGGAGGAGAGATTAGAATAATAGATGTTTGATTGGAAAGAAGGCGCAAACCACACCACAGCACATGCCAATTACCCACGGAGTATAGTCTGAGAGAGCCTGGACCGCACCAATCAAGTATTCCACACGGCAAAAAAAGACTCATGTATTTTATTTCCAAAGTGCAACATCGAAATCGTGTTTAAAATTTGTCAATCAACACCACTGGAATCCTTTACAATTACGAGCAACGATAGCTTTTAAGTGATTGAAAAATATAATATAAAGATCCCAGGCAATATCATGGCAAAAAGGTGCTTGTGAGAAAAGACATGCGGGGCTGCATTGACCCTCAACCTTGATGTCAAGTTGGGGGCCACAATATTATCATTCTGCGGGCTACAAGTTTAAAACCCCAGCTCCAAAACAATCTTTAGGTATTAAAGAATTAGACATCTACCCCCCCCCCCCCCTTGACATTTAACACTTTAAAAAAATAAGTCTACTAGCTGGTCTTTCCCAAACACCATTCGTCAATTAATTGTAGGTCACAATATAGAGACACTGAAGCTGTTTTGACAAATGCGGTAGTTAAAGTACAGAATATCTGATCCTCAGCAGGGTTGCAAGCTTTTTTCTCTCACCATTACAGAAGAATCCCAGTCTGCCTTCCCTAATGAGAGGGTCATCAAGGACTTGAGTGCTCCTATGTATGTACGGTTCATTCGAGAGCTAGATAGAGAACAGGATAAAGATTTCATGCAAAACAAAATGATGAGGAAGTACATGATTAAAGAAAAACAAAACATATTGGCTAACAAATGTTAAGTTTTACAGTCAACTGAGAAGCCAGAGATATGAATCATTTTCAAATTTAAGTGAAGTTGAAGCCTGAAGTGTTTTTTATTGAGAACTTTCCGTTGCTCCTACATCTTCCATAATCAAAGTTTACAAAGGTGAAATAAAAAAATAACAACAGGCTCTTGATGACAAGGGCTGTCCCAAAACAAACTTTGCTATCAGCCATAAATACTGGTACATCTCTGAGACAAATACAGAAAAATGGCAAAAAATTTACAAGCAGATTTTTACAATTGGCCGCTTTAAAGGACAAGTGGGCTATCCCGAAAAATGCTGTTTTGAGAAAATCGAAGGTAAAGTTTTAGCCCCTTGTTCAGTTTCATTAAAAAACAAGGAGAATTTTCTCTATAACCAAATAAATATACACACCAATAAAACCAAATTTCTATAGGTAGAGCAATGCCCACTTTTGGTGCAGGTCAAGATTTCTGGAAACCCCCGAAATCTGGGTTAGCCTGCTTGTCCTTAAAAGCGACCAATAGTCCTTGAGTTTCTTCAAACTAAAATGCCCATAATAGGCACAATTCAATGTCAACACACAAACACGATGATTTAATAAGAGTAAGATTTCCAGTGTACAAAGAGACATCTCCACTGATCATGGGAAAATCTGCCACCAAAACACATTCTATATTTTTACCCATGCTTTTTTGCCAGTAAAGACAGGGCAGTTGCTCACCATTCCAGCAAGAGTGTGAAAGGTTAATATTCAAAATTCAAAAACTTTGATTAGTAAAAATTTCTCTTATCTCTCCCTGAGCATTTCTTCTCATTCTGGAGTCCTAATAAAGCACCAAGCAATCTATTCTCAAATTAAACTCTTGACCATAGCAAGGTGTTAAATAAAAAAAAAAAAACCCCAATAGAAATAACCAAATCAGCACTGGGGAAAGAAAAACCCAGAATCCACCAGACTCACCCCTCTGACTGCACTTGTCTGACGCCCAAGAAGTCTCGTCCTCTCGTCGTCAGCAGCCGATCTTGGACCTGAAAAGACAACAGCGTAACCACCTCGGGAATCATACCGCCCCTCATCTTCCTCCTCCTCCGCACCAAAATGATGCTCATCAAACACCAGGTTAATTCCTCCTTCTTGTTCCGCCCCCTTCCCACCCTCCTTGTTCTCTTCTCCCTCATTGCTACCCGTCGCATCCGCCTCCCTTTCTGAGGCACTCAGCAGACTGTCGGAGATAAAATTCTCGGCAGACATCATCAGATCGATGGAGGTGCCAAGAGCCGACGTCTCGGGGAACTCGATCTGTGACGGATCCTCAGATTCCATTTCCCCAACCTGAGGAGGATCGCTTTTGGCGGGCAGCCCAGCTGGCTCACGCTCTGACCCTTGAAGGTCATCATGACGTTGGTGGAGAGAGGGGAAACATCTCTGATCCTCCTCTCCGTTCTTCCCATATGGGTGAGCATTACTGTATGTGTCTGTCCCATTCCCATCCCAAACCATATCAGCATCTTCGTCAACAACTCTTGAAGGAGAAACTTGTCTATCTGTTCCCTTCTGTTCAGTCCTTTCAGTTGGATGTGTAGTCACAGAGTGAGTAGAATTTACAGCAGAGCCCCCATTGGCGTACTGTGGGGGTACCTTGCGCTCATCAGGAATTTCCTCATGAGCTACATTGTGATGGTTATTTGGCTCATCTGGGGACACAATCAGAAACAGAACAAACAGTGCTAGTGCCGTAGAGGTTTTGAGGCTAGGTGGCGGTACATGTACTTATTCATAATCTATTACATGAAGGACTGAGAACACTGCATAAATTACTGCTCATATGACTGAGAGAAAACTGCATGATTTTCTTTTAAAATCATAGTTAAATGAGGGTGGAACCATGATGAAGTCAGTTTTCAAGAACTCTCTGCATTGAAAGTAAAAAGATCTAATAAAACAGCACGGGGTGATTATGAATCTATTCGGAAAAAGCAGTTCTAGAGAAGCTTAATGTAAGACTTCGATATACAGTATAACATGGTTATCTAGTTCGAACACAAAAGACTCAAAATCACTCATCAGTTAAACTGTGCCTGCATATAAATGCAATTATTATAAATTATTATTATATCTCTAATTCCTTAGGACCGGCCCCTGTAGTTCGAGGGATACCTTACTAAGATAAAGTAGAAGAAAAACAAAAAAAACAAACTGGGCCCGCAGGCACAGTTTAACGGATGCGTGATTTTGAGTCTTCTGTGTTCGACCTATCCGTGTTATACTGTACGCCATTTTGAAAAGTGATGTATGATGGAGTCTTACACTGAGCGGAGGATTTAATATTTCTTGAAGTACTGAAAAGTCCCAGAAAGCAGCAATCAAAATTTTTATTTCAGTTATCTGAAGGCATCTTTTACTCACCAATGTGTACGAGATCAAAATTATATCCTTTTTTTATGCACATACAGCAAATAAATATCCAGCATAACATTTGTTAACAATAATGCTGAAATTTTATAATTCTTCTCAATTTTTATATTTACATATTTTGTTTCAAGTTGGGGGGTATTTATCTTTGCAAAAAGTAGCAAAGTGCTTCAAAATGACCAGCCTAAAATCCTTCTACAGCACAAAATGTTAAGGAATGCAGGAAAGAAAATTGTGCTTTGTCAAGAATTCCTTCAATTCCTCAAAGGAAAGGTAACAGTGCATTTATTAGTTGAAATCATGCATTTCTGTAAACCGTTTCTCAAGGCACGATACACATTTTAATAACAAAACGAAACCGGAAACATTAACTAAAATGCTTCTAAGCATTTACATGAAGAGATGCATTGTTCTTAAACCTTTTGGATTAATAAATGAATGAACTTTCATGCTGAATAATTATATAGCTTTCACTAATAGACAGGTCAACAACAACAAAATAACCAGGTTGACAACACAATACATCAGAAAAGTCAATTTTCTTACCACAAACATTCTGTGATTTGAAAAGCTTATGAAGAAGTATAAAAAAAGGAGACACTACGTTGCTTGAAACCTCGAGAGAAGCCAGCAAGCTGTAGACATCCACGGTTGGAAATGAAGCTTTTTAAATGTTAAAAATGTGGCAAGCCCTTCTCTGCCAGAATTTGTATTACTGCCAAGAGCAAAAGTCACAAGTCATTTTAACTCTTTCATTACCGAAGGTTCTTTTTCCTCACCTGGACTGGACCCTATTTGTGACCTACTTTCTGATTTTGCATACTGTCGGACAAATGAAAGATTTTGAGTTCAATTTTCAATATCAACCACATATATTATATTATAAAATAAAGGGGAAATTTTTTTAACAGGAAGTGGTGAGCCGTGAAACACGACTGGCGGTCCAGCATTGGGGGTAACACGAGCTGTGAGACACAGCTCGCGGTAGTGAAAGATGTTAACCCTTATTTTTTTTCTGTTTCACTAAAGAAACATTCTACATTACAGATGTGTTGCTCATAGTCAGACATTGACAGACAAACTCGTCTGAAGCTACTCCTTTGAAAAAGAAAACTTTGACTTTGGCCTGGTATGTCATCACAACTTCCACTGAGACAAGGGCGTCCATTTTAAAAAAATGACACTTGGCTTACAAATCTGACACACATAATTATAGAAAACACCAGGTTTTGTCTTGAGGAGGTAAAAAGTTTCTATTTCATCCACAGTGTTAAGTGTTAAAATGCTTCTTGAAGGCAAGTGGAAAAAGAAGTGAAAGAGCATGGTGGGGGTTTGGGGGAGGGAGAACATGGTAAGTCCATAGGAAGATACATTTCCAGTATCAGTGAGAATTCCAAGTCATATCCAAAGCAATATTTCAAATAAAGACATCAAGGGACATCTTTCAAAACAGCTTTCTTTCATTATCTCCTTCATAGCTTTTAAATGAAAAATAACGAGCTGTTTTCAAAGAAATAGTTCTGAATTGGGCGTTATCATTTTCTTTAACTTTCTCAAATCTTCCAAAAACTGAATTTGCCCACTGAGGAATGATGCTGACAGACGAAATGCTGTCAGACAGTCAGTAGACACACTCACCAATTCCCCCACTACACGATATCTGTCGCTTTGGCCACGCCACTTTCTCCACATCTGAGACTGCCGTGGCCCGAGACTCCTCCATTTCCTGCGTGTAGACCTGGGCGGGCTCGTAGTACAGCAGCAGGATCAGCACAAGAAGAAAAGTCCAGATGCCCACCAGAAAACCCTATGGACCGAAGGTTTTGAACCTATGACCTATCGCAACAAAATGCTGATAACATAAACTTCACGCGACCACAGAATTTCTTCATGTAAATAAGATATTGTGTTGACGGAAGTTGAGATGCACAGAATAAAGAAATTTTTTTTACTTGGTAAAAGTAATTTCATGCTAAACAAAGTCTACTGTATTATACAGAAAATTAAAGATTTGCTTGCCAGAGATATCTGCCGTAAGCTGACAAAAGGCCTTTTTTTTTCATTTTGGTGCAAAATTTTTTAATCTGCTAAATCGAAAGCCTGATCAGTCACCCACCCTACTTGTGTGAAAGAATCAAAGCGAAACTGTAACTAGTTTTTGAAATAAATTAAAACTCAAATTTCGGAAGAACACAATTCTTAAATGGTTACGCTGACAAAAAGCCTCTTTATCTCTAAAACTACTGTGAATTTTAAAAAGGGTATTTTTTCAGCTTACAGCAGATATGTCCAAGCAACACTGCACTCATGTTATTAATCGTGCCCATGCAGCATGGTGCTCATGTAATTGATAAGATCAGATAAGATCAGATAAGATCAGATAAGATCAGATAAGATGATACTTTATTGTTCCAATGGGAAATTTTCTGGGCTGCACATCAGGAATGGTAAAAACACAAGCAGATAATAATATAATATACATACAAGTTAAATGATATTTTACTTCCATAGACATTCAATATTTTATTGGAACTGCCGTGGAAAAAAAAAAAAGGTACTGATTTTGACATAAGTGCTGTCATTCATTGAAAGGAGTATATGGTCGTTTTTAAGGACAAGCGGGCTATCCCAGATTTCAGTGGTTTCCAGAAATCTTGACCTACACCAAAAGTGGGCATTGCCCTACCTAAAGGAGAAGTTTGGTTTCACTGGTGTGTATATTTGTTCGGATATAGAAAAAACTCTCCTTGTCTCTAAAGGGCAAAAACTTTACTTTCAATTTTCTCATAACAGCATTTTCCGGGATGCCCCTTCCTGCTTAAAGCGACCAAATCATCCATGAAACAAAACAAAAAATACTACAAATATTTAAATTTTATCAAGCGTTCATCAAATAGTTTGCTCTATTTTTATAACCCTATCCGTACGCCCTGGGGTTATTTGGTACCCCCGTGTTGTATTCTTCACATTTGAGAATACTTCTCGTTCGAAGATCTCTCTGAAACTTTCAGTATTTCTCAAAAAACCATTTTGACAGACTGCTATGCAAAGCGTATGGATCGGATTAACGAGTAAATTTCCTCATTGGTGGCACAGAGTTCCCCACGTCATATGGATACCATAGTAAAACACAACGTACGGATAGGGTTAAAGTTTAGTTTTAGTAAGAGTTTTATGGCACTTACTACAAAAATAGGTAAAAAAGGAGCCGAAGATTAGAGGTGTTACGAGTAGAGAGTAACATACAAAAGAAAGAGGAGAGAAAGAGACAGCAGATGTTTGAAAAGAAAGAAGGAGCAAACCGCATAAGAGCACCTGCAACCACCCACATCTTTCACAAACTACTATTAGGTGTGGGAGATTTGAATGTCATGTCCCGTTTTTTCAAAACTAAGACATATGAGAAGCAAGTTCTCTCAAATAACATCTGACATGAGAGAGAACGGGCAGCCGATGATTAACACTTTTCCAGCAGTCAGGGTTCACAAATGTATCTGCATAGATCTGAACCCTGCCTAAACTTTTTCGACTTACCCCAGGAGAAGTGTACTTGTTAACTTTGAAGGGGCCTATCGTAAAGTCCGCTTCTCGAAGAAATATATTGAAGCCTGGGCCTGAAATATAGGACGGGAGAGGTTACCCCAACACCAGGCTTTGCCCAGGCACAGGCTCCAGTGGCTGAGTGGTCAGAGAGTTCAGACTCACAAAGAACGTCAAGCAAGAGTCAGTGGCATGTTTATGTTTCCTTGAGAAAAACACAACAAGACTGACTAAAAAAAATAAGGCACTGCACAGCTGTTCTAAAGTTGTCTGCGTCGTTGTAGCATTGTGTATCTTGTATTCATTGCATGAATAGTTATGTATTTAATTAAATAGGTACTTAGATAATTATATTATGTTTGCCATTGTAACCCAAATTTAAACAGCAATAAATTCAAAATTTATTTATTTATAGAGCAAAACATAGCATGTTATAGATACATGGATGGAAACAGCATTCACAATGTTAAGTCAGCAGAAGAACTCCATTCATTTAAAAATCATACCATGAACGAGTGCAGAAAAGAAGGGAAAAAAATTAAAATATTCATTTCTCAAAATATGCACACACTAACACACAGAGAAGCAGATTCTAAAAATTCTGCTTTAAAAATTATGATAAAACAAATATAAGGGCGAATAAAAATTGAAAAGGGGGAGGTGGTCCTTTGTATGGGTGATCGTCTTGGACAGCAGTTTGTCAGTTAAAGCAGGCTCGACTGTATTTGGGTAAGGGAATTGGGATCACACACTTATGAAGAACAGCCAAAAAATGAGGTCCACTTCATTCAGAGAAAAGACTCAGGCACAAACTCAGTTGTAAGAACAAATATTGAATAAAGTCTGAGGCATTCATCCTTTGATAGAGGTGACCTGTTTTCCACTTACCCATGAGAAGTGCAATCTGGCGGATGGCTGCCAACTTTGACAAAATGCCTGTCCTTTCTTTTTCACTGGTATACCTGGAAACTTCCGCAAACACAATTGCCTCACTACCAGCTCCTAACCCTGACAAAACAAACAATTGGTAAGAATATAAAAAGCTGATTATCTATACATATGAAGATATTAAATCATTAATGGAATTTGCTGTGGACACAAAAGTTAATTTTCCCCTCTTTTCCCTTGTAAGTCAAAGTCGCAGTTATCCTACTGCACTTCTTGACCGACCTTTCTTAATGCTAAAAAAACCCCAGCTGTTTCAGACCATTAATAGTCAGTATAATAATACACTTAGCACATTTATCGTCAGTCTACACTTAAATGAACCTGTGACAGGGAATTTGAACTCTGAACACAATGCCTTCTCAACGAAGCGCTCTGAACATGACCAACAGCTCCCCTTTCAAAATGACCAACCTATTTCATATCTAGTACCGGCATTTAAATCCGCCCCTGTGAACAATTGGTGGTGTAAATCATCAAGAATATATTTACTTCAAAGTGGCAATGGGAAATTAGCTTTCTGAAGTGCCCTTTATTTGACGGTCAAGGGAGCTGACATTTAAAGTAGGCTAAAAGAGCTTGGACATAAGAAAAAAAGAAGAAGGAATTATTCATTAAAAAGAGCCAGAAAAAGAACTGTGCAAACCTGATATGAATCTGCTGACGAGGCACATTGCGACTGAGACATCAGCGAAGTAGAGGAAGCTGCCTCCCAGCTCAAACAACGTGCACACAATAAAGATTCTCTTTGAGTTTCTGGTACGATCTGATACCCTGGAAATGACATTTAACATGTCTCATATGTAGAGAGAATCAATGAAAACAAGACAAAATGATTACAGAAATAAAGGGACTTGCTTTATATACCTAGGACATAAAAAGTAGTAGAATAAGAACAAAACATTATATTATGTTAATTTCATTTTCAAATTATTTCATAGATGCCTCCATCTCAGTCCATTATGCAATAGTTGGGTTGGGTTTTTTTAATAGTCATGGTCAGTTTTGATACAAGAATGCAGGGAATCTTGACTTTCTACAACTATTGATCATTTTCAAAGACATTAAATACTTGTTTTTTTTTGGTTTTCTTTCAATGGACCATAGAGTCATCAATTTCTCTAAGCAATGACCAATTTTGAAAATCTACAGCTATGAAAGTATAGTTCATATGCGACACAAATGCAAAAACTCAGGGTATTCGTCTCTTTTCAAGAACAGGTGCTAATTCCTACTTAACTTACCCAAGGGTCTAGGTGTCAAAAAATGTAAAACGTTCAATGACAGGCCATGCCTACATAAGAATGGCAATCTCCCTCAGATTATAAAAATTTTAAACATAAGCTGATTGGAAAAATTGAAGTAATTAATTGAAACTTTAACGAAATGAATAAAAACATTCGATAAATTAAAGCATTAGAAAACTGACAAAATGAATAAAAACCTTTTACATGTAGAGCACCTACCTGCCAGTCACAGGGGAGGCCAACGCTGCCGCCACGCTGTAGGCTGACAGCACTAGCCCTAACATGTACTCCGGAACTCCGTACTCATTGTGCAAGTATAGCCACAGGGTAGGGAGAATCACCGCTGTTAGAAGAACAGCACTTTGTTTTATGAACACAGAACTCTATAAATTGTAAATGGTGTAGAATTTTGCTGTTATCAATCAAGTCAACAGCTGTAATGCCGATGTAGCAGTGAAAGTAAGTTTTGAGTAGAGTTATTGTTTTAGTAAGTGTTTTACGGCACTTGCAACATAATAAGGTCATATAAGTGCCAAAGATATGAGGTGTTACAAGAGAGTAACAAACACAAAAAAGGAGAAGGAGAGAAATAGACAATAGATATTTGTTTGAAAGGAAAGAAGGAGCAAACCACACCAGAGAACCCGACAACAACCCACTGCTAAGCACATCCACACAATAACATATCTATTTAGTCGCTGAGAAAATAAGACAGGCAAATAGAAACAATACAGGGAAAAAAAAAAAGAAGAACGACCTGCCCGTGGAGCCATCTAACCACCTGCACAGTGAAAGTGATATGTTATGGATCTGCAGCAACTCTAAAGATTAATGACCCAGAAAGAAAGAGTACAACCTTACCCTTCATTTGTACCATCTCTACAAGGCAAAAATTTAAACCAGTTCAAAGTAGGAGCACTAGGAGCAGTAGTTAGAACAGGAATGGAATAGAAAAAAGAAAAGAGCAAGGCCCTGAAATTAAAAGAGAGATGACATAGATTCAAAAATGTAAATTTTACAAAATAATTCTACCTACAATTTTCTAGCCTTTAGGCCTATTCAGTTGATGAAGTTATAAATGCACTACCGGTACAAGATGAAAAGATAATGAAATACTCAGAATTAGGTCTACCAACAGGACCCCAGACTGGCAGGAAATATCTCAGGAATAACTAGAAAATTTCTAACCGCTATCTGAATTAAAACTTTGAGTTATATCATGTCATAAATATACTGCCTACTCTTTATAAAAAGTTAAGAGTCAGTCTATCAGTGTACATAAACATGAGCAAATTTTTATGTGTTTGCTTAAAAAACTCCCTTGGGAGTACCATAGATCAAATTTTCCAGCTCTTCATCTTGATTTGGTTATAAAATTGAATAGATTTCAAATAGTCCTGTTTTAACTCTATCCGTACGTCGTGTTTTACTATCGTATCCATATGACGTGGAGAACTCTGTGCCACCACTTTCCAAAGAGGAAATTTACTCGTTATTCCGATGCATACGCTTCGCATAGCAGTCTGTCAAAATGATTTTTTGAGAAATACTGAAAGTTTCAAATAGATCGTACTAGAAGTATTCTAAAATGTGAAGAATACAACCCCGGGGGTACAAAATGACCCCAGGGCGTACGGATAGGGTAAAGAAGTAATTAACTTCAAAAGGTATCACAGAATGAAAAATAAAGAGTATGAGTACGAAAAGAATGATTATTAAAAACCTAGGCTCAGTATTAACATTAAATAAGAGCAGATCATACATCAACAAAGAATAGACTTTTACTAACCAGTCAGCAAAATATTCAGTTTTAGGCATAAAATCATCAATCAATTAATTGAGAATTGTAAATGTTTTACACTCTCACTGACATAATTTTGATAATCTAGGCAAAGAACTACTTCAACATAGCCAGTAACTGCCAACTCAGGCTTCTGTCGATTCAGCTTTAATAAATCTTTACTTTTACATAAATATAAGTCAAGATCTTACCATACTCAATGCCACCGCATAGAAAGATGAAGGCAAACACAGTGTACATGAGCCGCTTTTTCACTTTCAGAGACGTCATTTTCTTTGGATATCTTCAATCTTGGGACAGATACAAGTCAGGGTACCTGGATCTGTCAAACACAAGAGAATGGACTGAAAGAACAACAGTGTAAAAATGCCAGAAAAGAGAAATTATAATGCCATACCACTGTGGAAGCAATTTCTGCTTTATCTGTTAGAAGCCTAATCAACACCAATGTTTTGAGTATGATACATGGTCGTATGGCACTCGAGTGGCAACGTCATTATGCTTGAACCTCAAGTATTGAAGGGTATCACATAAATAATGTGAGGCAGGTGGGGAAATCAGGGGTTTGTCAAAAAAACAAAATCAAAGAAAACGCCATTTTACTGCCTGTTTGACAATTTCGTACTGTTGGTTGTGTGACTGCAAAGTGTGGGTGTGTATTATAATCGATTGTTAACAGAAAGTTTCTAGAAATGTTTATGACCATAAAACACATCATCATTGGATTCCAGTTATAAAAACAGTCAACCAATGACATTGATTCCCCTTAATAATTTGTGTCACGACTTGTGGAATCAGGCACTCGTCAATTTTGGTTTTATTGGTAGGCCTATCATTATTTAGCCTGTTTATTTGCCTTCTTTTTTGGTGAAAAAATTGTCCATCTATGTTGAATAGAGAAGTCAAAATATTTGCCATTGAAGGAGGTCAGGGCCGTCTAGTTTCAAAGTTAAAATTAGCAAGGAAATGACCATTAAAGTTTAGTAACTTCCATTATAACCGTAATCTGAGAGTCATTGGAAACTCAGAATATAATGTATTTTTGGGGCCTCTAATCAATGTTTTTCAACAAAATCCATACAAAAATGTGTTTTTAAATTCACATTAAAGGTGTTAAACCCAAAAAAGAAAATATGAAAAAAATTGCAATTGGCCCAAAACAATACCGATTTCTTTTATTTTATTATTTTGACGAGCGCTTGATTTCACCACGACGCATCAGATTTGTTTACATCTACCGTGTACTACATACATGAGGAGAAAAAGAGTTAAACCAAACATCAAACAGCTAACAACACTGAATGACAGTCTAACGATTCAAAAAACACCCACCCTGCAAAGACCAAATATTAGCAGATCTAGATGAAATTCTTAGACAGGCGACACCTACTTATTCCAAAAATGTAGGGAAGGGAGAGGAGGAGTGAAACACTAAGATTTAAGTGTATCCATTTGTAAAATAGAATCATGTCCGAGTTCTGAAAGAAGTCCACATCAGTAACCAACGTTTAATAAACAAGGAATTTGGGGTAGAATACATAATTTTAAGTTTAAAGTAGTTTTTTGGGGGTGGAAAAATTAGCCTACTGTGTGTGTGTGTGTGTGTATGGCACTCACTAGCAACACCAACAGAGTAGGACAGTATTTATATCTATAACTTAAAGACTGAAATGTAAGAGACCTTGGTTCGATTCATGGGTAGGGGGAGATTAAGGTGACTATTTCTCTGAACGTTCAGGAAAATAAACTAGAACTCTATTTTCTCTGAACGATTTCCATTCTCGAGATTTGTTGGTTATTTGCGAGAATCCGGGTCATCTTTCATTCTGCGAGGACTGGGAAAAAACATTTTTTTTGCATAGAATTCAATTTCTAGAGCTAGAATCTAGAGATGTTTAGATGTCTGAATGTTCAGATATTTCAAGTGTGGTTGGGGCAACGTTCCTGACCTATACTTCATTTGAAAATGTCTTCAAAAGGTGCTGCGAGAAAACAAGACTGCTCGACTTTGGCAGTAACCTATTTTGTAAGTATCATGATCTAGTCACCCCTAAAGCAAAAACTATCACAAAAGATCCCTCTACGCATATACGCCCCCCCCCCCTTCACACCTCACACACACGCGCGCGCACACTCTCTCTCACACACACAGACACGCGCGAGTGCGGGCCACTCCATTATTAAAATCTCAAGAACGAAAACCGTTCGGAGAAATAAAATTCAAGTTTATCTTCCCTAACGTTCGGAGAAATAGAGCCGGCCTATTCTGTATCCAGTCGATTTTGCTATGGAGCACGTTAGGGCTAGGTCACTTTATTTTATAAAAAATCCAACACAACATTAAGGTGATCGATTGCATTCATACATACAGGCACAGGGAGAGTACCATGCAATTTTAAATGCACCATCACACATCTACTACATTAATTTACAAACTAACAAAAGTAAAAGCGCTAAAACTTTGTAAGGCCACTTAGGCGATCTCTGGTTTTGGCCCCAAGTGTAATTAATGACATTAAAAATAAATATATATATAATAAATTTATTAGTAACTTTAGGCCAATGGGTAGAGGTAGGGTTATCGAACCCCAGTGCCCATTGGGAAGATCGACAAACCGATCGCTCAACTTGCGGCCTGAAAATTGAAAACAAGTTACACATTTGGTGTTTGTTTTAGGGGAGTGTATACAGACCCGGTAACCGGGGACAAAGCCACGAAGTATACAGACCCAGTAGGGGAAATCTTTTGTGATCCCTTGTTTTAAATGGGGCTCTGCGAATCGGGCAATCGGTTTGTGCTGATGGTCGCTTTGCTCCCACAATCTGACTGGCCCCGCCTGCCAAACCGAACCAATTGTGCCACCAATGGGCACCCCTATACTTGGAATAGGAGTTAAGAGGGGTAGGATTGAACGGCAGGGTAGTAGTAGAGGTAGATTCTAGGTAGATCTAGACCTAGTAATTGTTTAGGGCCACAACCGGATCATCACTTTTGACATCATGGACAGCTGATAGAATCTAGTAAAAACCTCAGCACTTCGCACCTGTAATGCTACCTACTCTATAAAAGATTATTTCTCCGTCTCCACTTTCTGGTTTGATGAACTACTCTGGCTTCTTGCAATTTAAATTAGAGACAGAGGCAGAGAGAACAAAAACAAGATTCATCACAGTTGGATAGAATCTAAGAATCTTAGAATGTACGGAATGAAGTCTGGTCGTCATGCTGGATGAGGATGCATGATTTAATCACTGTGAGGGCTGGTTCGACTTCAGAATCAGCTTTTTAGTATTTTTACTGTACTGTCACAGAAGTATCGTCAGTTCCTCCGACACTCATGACTTGGGACAGTCACAAACTTTGATTCCTGTGTCAGTGTGAACTGTGTGTGAAGAGTGAAGCACTGAGCTGTAAGGACCAGTCCAGTGAAGGAAGAATAAGCTTTAGCTTACTGAATGTGGGTGGAAGAACAGAATACAGTACAAACACTAAAGAACGAATTACATACTTGCCAGATTATAAAAACCTTTCCCGCTAAAAATCAGATTTATCACACCACTTGAAAACAGCGAGATTATCAATCAATATATATCACCTTCCAGCTGCGAGGGAAAAGTCATATTTTACAACCTAAAAACGGAGAATTCTGTTGATTGTACAAGGTAAACTTGTAGTCCAGCATGTTAGAAGAGATCATCTAGATCTAGATCTATATTTTTATATTTTTTAAAGACCCAGTGAAAAAAAAACCGGCCCGTAGTGTAAATTTTAATGTTTTGGCCTACATTAGTATTTTCAGAAATGACACAATTTCCACTAAAAGTCTCCTATCAATATCGAAAAACTTCAATAAAATTTCTGAAAAAAAGAGAGGTTGTAATTCGGGAAAACAGTTAAGAAAATTCAGTCATTTTCAAAGGAAAAGACAAAACTAACAGCACAAAATAAGGGAGAAAAGTAACGTTGTTCCCGCTCCCTTGGTCGAATTTTTCCCTAACTTTTGCCCCCAAAGATATCGTGCGGGTAGATAGATGACACTTTTAGATTGGGAAATGCCGAAATGCTGCAAAATGAATGTTCGGGCAGACTCTTTGGTGAATACCGAGGTATTCAGTACCGGTACAATTAATTGTTTACCCAGCCGACGTCGTTTATAGATCAGACATGATTGGACGGAGTCAACCACATTATCTTTAGTAATAATAATTGTCCAGCATTCATAGTCATAATGTATAGAAAGGCTGATCGATCACATATGAATGCATGCATGTACGTACGTAGGCCTATGTATGTATGGATGTATGTATGTATGTATGTATGTATGTATGTTTGTTTGTTTTGTTTAGTATTGGGTT